GTTTTTAGTTGAATAGCTTGCTAATTCAACTTTAGACCAAATATTTGTTAAGAAGACTATAACTGTTTGTATATTTCGAACGTAAACTATTTGGATGTCAGGATTGTGTGATCTTTTATGTTTCTTTTAATTAAAAGTGTTTGAAGATAAAGTCAAGAGAAATCTTACCAATAATTGTATGCGAAGCAGCGTTCACGCGAATGGTGTCTGCAACTTTTTAACGAGTCGTACATTCTAGCGATATCATTATCTATGGTATACGCCGGAAGTCGCACCGTATTTATGTAGGCGCGACTTGTTCACGCATGCTGCAACGCCGTGGGTTATACAAAAAGTTACTAGCTTTTGTGAGGAATATATATATATACATATATATATGGACACCCTGAAATGTGTGTGTGTGTGTGTATATATATATATTTCAGGGTGTTCATTCCCTGAATAAGCATGGAAAATCCGGAACTCTCAGGGAGTTTTTTTTGTACCTGAAGAAATCGGGGAATTCTCATGGAATTTCATCGGGACTCAGGGAATTTTCAAAAAAATTTTCTTTTTAATAATTTTGCTCTTATACTGTAAGCAGTTTGCAATCCGCGGATAAGCCAAGTTGTGAATTATGTGTTTAAATTAAAAAAATATATTTCTATCTGTGTTTATATATTTAATGTCTTAACAAAATATTGAATATACAGCATATGTTCTTTATTTTAATTTTTAGTGATAAAAAATGAGAATGTTATGCAAGTTAAAAATTTTTATCTTAACGAAAGCTATTCAGCTTTTTTCAGTACATTTGTAAACTTAAGTAGCTTTGTGTTTTCGTATGAGTAAATAACATTAAAAAACGTGTACAATAAAAAAAACTTATTTTAGGAAAATGCACCAAAATCTTTAAAATATTCTCTTTACCTGGAATTTTGAACAAAAATACTTGGAAAATCAGGGAATATTCAGGGAATTCAGGGATTTTTTACAATATTTGAGTAGACACCCTATATTTTCAGTGCATAGTAAATGTGATTACGCATACGTTGCATCGTACAAAGTTACGATTTAATTCACAAATTGTACATCGATATATTGTATTGTGCATTTATCGCTAAGTGTATTATTTGATTCGTTATCATTTTCGTGCACTTGAGTAGTGTTGAAGTAAATATATAAATAGTTATTTTTTTAAAAAACATTTTTTTTTTTTAAAGTATACACGCATTAAAGTTGTAAAAATATAGTCGATCACAATTTACATTTATATACGTATAATAATTTTACTTTTGTCATATAAGAATTCTTAATATTATAAAATCTTCTATTTGATAATTTTGCTCTTATATTGTAAACAGTCGGCGATCTAAATAAATTATATGTTTAAAATATATTATTAATATATATTTATATGTGTGTGTTTGTTTATATACTCAATGTCTTAACAAAATATTGAATATGCAGTACATACTCTTTATTGTAATGTTTAGTGATAAAAAAAATGAAAATTTTATATGCAAATGAAAAATTATCTTACGAAAGTTAGTTTTTTTCAGTACATTTACAAATGTAACACTTGAAACAAGGCTCTCTTTAAAAGAAATTGCTTAAGATTAGCAGAAAGTGTGTTTCAAATAAGTTATATTATGAGTGCTTGGTCAATCGTATTGCTTTCATTAGCTTTGATAATTTTGAAATTTTTGTAGACGAAAACTGAATAGTAACACACATTGTAGTCATTATTTTTTATCATCTTTCTCTATTATATATTTAAAATATGTTTAAAAGTTTAAACTAAATTTGTTATATCTATTATGAGTAAAATTAATAGCGAGTTATGAAAAATATGGCTACATTCATAATATACGTAAAATATGATGCATACATTAACTATAACTGCTGCTTATATATATCATAGAATATAAAATTTAAAATAAATCTTGATTATTGACGAATATCATAAAATATAAAATTAATAACAATCGCATTATAAGATGTAAAATATAAAGTTTATGTACGTACATGTGCGCACGCATATGTGTATGTGGCAATTTTGATGCAACGGAATACAAAGATTGAGGTTGAGGTGAACGATTGCGGTTTGAAATGAAAAATCTGTCCTTAATCGATATTCTGCGACAATCGGTTTCTTATCCTTATTCTTATCGCCCAGATTTTTGAAAACAAATCCGTTATCTTTCAATATTTTCGTCGATTTCGGAACTTTGGCGCGCAATGCATGTGTATCTGTGTGGAATGATATGTGGCTCTGTGTTGAGCGACCGACTCATAGTCGGCAAGTTTCGGAATCGTATCCCGTATGTCTTTTAAAAGATTAGTGGGTTTTTTCTACACGGGTGAGCATAGAAAGATTAAGAATTAGTGCGACACAGTTTGAAAGTTTCATAAAAGGAAACGGAGAGACGTAGGAGAGAATAGATGGCACGTACGCATAGGAAGAAGCGAGCAGTGGATCTTTTGGATATACAGGATATCCCGAAATTAAATGTTAAAATTTCGGGAAAGTGTGGGGGATCGATAAACTAAAAAAAAAAAAATCCTTTAGAGATTTGCTCATTTTTGCTTCGTTTTAACAACTTTTATCTCATGGTACTTTTCGATAAACCTAATAAATTTAGTTTTTTGTTTTAAGTTTTTTTATGAAAATTGTTTTGTTTCTTTTTTTTGCGATTTTCTTTAAAACGAAGAAAAAACGAGTAAATCTCTAAAGAACTTTTTCTCTTAGTTTATCGATTTCCCGCACGCTCCCGAAGTTTTGACATTTAATTTCGGAATACTCTGTATATTATAGATAAGTGAAATGGCGAATCATGAATCACACACACACACACACACATACAAATTTGAAGTAGTAAACAGCATATTTTGCGCGTGTGATGCATTCCTTCTTATAATCTCTGCACCTACCGGACACACACACACACATACACACAGGAAAAAGAGAAACAGAGGGATAAAAGCTTGTTCTCTTCGGAGAGACTAGAAATGCATAAAAAAGTGTTAGTTTTTGTGCTATAAAATGCATTTCAATCTAATCTGTTTTGTCGATCCTTAGTCATACAATCTATTTTTTTCTAATTGTGCCAGCATAATTGGAAAGATAACATACCTTTTTTTACAACATAAAAATATATATTTTATAAAAAGTATTATACATACAAAGTCATTATCTATTCTTTTTGTTATAATTATTTCGTCATCGATTTAAAGTCAATCCAACAAAAATTTCAAAATATTTATAACTCTCGAGCAATTAACGATTTTAAATTAAGGAAGTTTTACCAAATTAACAATAAGCTGTAGGAAAAAAGATAGATGAGGAAATTTCATCAACGAATTTTATAATGACAAAATTGATCTTTACTGTCCGATCAAGATCGTACGAATCACAAACATGCTGATAATTCTACAAAATTCTATCATATGTCATCCGCAGCTGTAAGAAAATTTACAAATTCCTCGACTCTCATTTTACAAATATTTGAATAATTCCTAGTTTTAATAACTGACTAGTCATTTCTAATAGTCGAAAGCCAGATGTACTCTTAAGGTAGTTGTCTTGCGACAGTACAATCCAAAATCTTATACTCTGAGTCAACGTTAAAACATCCGACTACCTACGGTTACCGATTGAAAACTTTTGAAAATTCTGTACTATTTCTGTCTATTGCCAAGTCAATGCCCGCAACGTTCGCGAGCATCATCTGTCTTTGTTTAACTTTCGATGACAACAAGGATGAAATGATACCGCGAGGTCTTTTTATTATTGTATTTCTAAAACTAAACGATCAATAATTTCGATTTTTTTAAATAGAATTCCTAAAGTATCCTTTCTACTTTGTATTAGTTTTTCATCACTTTCTTGTTATTCTTTCCAATTATTAAAATTCAAACTATGAGATTTTCGTACGTTTTGCGTATGCGGCATAAAAAGTGCAAATTTTGATAGCGATTATCTCGCGTTTGGGATGGTCAATTGCTTTTAAGTTGTACAAACGTGTAGATACCACATTTATTAACGTATAGTTAAATTTTCAAATTTTTCTCATTAATTGCGATTTGCGAGACAACTACCTTAACTGCAGTTACGCGTGATTTTCGATCAGCGATCGCGGGACTGACCTTCGTCTCACTTCGTCTCGAGTCTTTCTTTACTTCTTCGTTTTTCTCATGGCTTCGTCACCTTTCTTATCGCACTTCAAGCGTTCTCTTCTCTTATCTACGATTTGTAATGGTTCCATGTAAAATTCTTACAACTTGTTTATCCTCGATTAATTTCATTTACACGATCTGTTACTATTTTAATGCAGTAAATCATTTATTCGTTTTGTAATAAAGTAACTTGTGCAATAATTTTTTTTCTTTTTAATTTTTATTTATTTGATTTTAATTTACGAGCTTTGCTCAATCATTTTGCTCGAATCATTTTTTTCCGTGTTTTGTATCATATCATTTCTTAGTTTATTGATATTATCCACTATTTCTTTTCATGTGTACTTTTCTCGATTTTTTAAAATTTAAATAATATAGCAAATGAATGCGTAAGAGTGTTAAAGATATATTTTTATATGATATATATGTTAATATATTTTTCAACCGAATTGATTGCAATGATTATGTGATTATGTGATTATATATATCAAAAAAAAAATAATTACTACAGTAAATAGCTGTTAAATTTACTTGCGAAACCTCATATTTTTTCAAATGTGTTACAAGATTCACGAAACTCTACGAATTTTATATTGTTATCTCTTTAAGGTCGATTTCTTTTCTTCGTTTTCTTCCTTTTCTCTCTGAATTCACCGAAACAAACTGACTGACCTGGCTTGATATACAAAAGCCGCTATAGCAAATATCCCCCATAGTTACATAAATTGAAGTTCGCTTGAAAAAAGAAAGGAACGAGATGTAGTGAGAGAATAAGCAGAGGGATGCGCGTCGACTGTGTCCACGATCGAGCTAAAGCCAGCTGAAACCTTTCTTTCTTTCAGGATATTCAGTGGAGACGCGAAACAATTAAAGAGGAGACGACGACGACGACGAGTGTTTGCCTAAAAAGAGAATTTTCGGAAGAGGATGCTCGGCAGTTGGGGCTGGAAAGAAGAATTGGAGTTGGGAGTGGGTACGACAGCCACGTTGCAAGAGAAACAGAGAAGAGAGAGCCCAGACTCGACGCATCCTGTTCCTGACAGCCGGGTGCTGAGGTATGCACCCAGCCGGTGTCACCACCCTCCCAGCTCGCCACATTTCAGCACGCAGCCTCCTCTCGACTGTACAGACTGTGAGTCTCTTTTCTACCATCTCTCTCTTTCTTTTTTTTTTGTTTCTCAAATTCCGTTCAATTATACCACTCGCTCCGAAAATAAATCTATCTCTATCTCCAATAAATTATCTATTACTATTATTTATCTATTATTTGATAAAGGACTATGCCCAGTTTGGACCCCGAGTGAACAGTCATGAGTTATATATTAATTAATAAGGGGGTATTTACGAAGTACGAAACAAAAGGTTTTAATTGCTTAATTAAAGTCTAGCAAACATACCATATATACGTACGTACATTGCCATAATAGCGAACTTTGAACAGCTTTAGTACTTAGGGGATTCATTTTACAAGATTGTGCCCATGGAACTTTTTAATCCTCTTTTGATGGCCTACAATCCTAGCCATGTCTTAATGCTGCTGTTCATCGGGCGTCCAACTTCAATAGAAAACTATGCATAGTCTTTTTATTTCTTCCTTTTCTTGTTTAGTGGCGGGAGCTTTCTCTTTCAACAATAAATGATATTAATAATAACACACATTAATATTTAGAGCAGCGTGAGGTGGCCAAAATGCTGACTGCTCACCCTGAGATGCACGAGAAGCGGGACAGCCTCGGTGGCGGACAATATGGAGCAGGCGGGGGTGGTGGCGGCGCTTCGATTGAAGAGAAATCTATTCCGGAACAACCACCCCCGCCTCCTGTACCGCCGCAACGAGACCTGTCGGACCCCACTATCAGCGCTAAAAAGCTTCCGAAGAAACGAAAGTTCGATCCATCCGAACTCGAGGAGATGGACAAGACCAGCAATGTCACCAGCAACATCACCAGCAACATAATTAACATACGCGCGCCGGCAATGCCGCTTGGCAGCCAGCCGGCTGCTTTAGGTCAACAATCGAGCTTACCAACTATTATCAACCGGCAGTCACCACATGAGCCCGATTGTTATCAGGTATATCGATAAAATACATGTTTCCTGTTGAAATTTTGATGTCTCTGCAGACAAAAATACTAATCTTGCGAATATTATCTAAACATGAAAAAAATTATAAATATTATTTGGAAATTAATAAAAAGAAAAAATGTATATACACAGCAATTTAAAAAGGATTTTAAGATCTTTACAAAAATTCCTTTATGAAATAAATATACATATAATTTATTTCTAAATAATAAATACGTGATATATTTACTTACTTGATATAATACATATTGAATTACCTTTTAGTCAGAGAAATGTGTGTGACGTTTTGCTGTAATGTTGTGTTTATAGGTATCCTCCGCTCATTCGGTAGTAGTGTTACCTCCTCAAAGCATAGCGGTAGATTACTCTCTTCGCGAAGAACCTTTACGGTCTCGTCCTCGACTTGCTATTGATCTCAGTGAGTGGCGCGACCATAGAGTGTTAGCTTTAAGGGATTCATATTATTATCCGGGCGTTATACGTAATGTTATTCACGGTGAGATTTTCATCGAGTTCGACGGCGAGAGGAAATTGGTGCGTTACAGTGACGTTCTGGGCGGGAGACGATATGACGTGATAGGCGATGCAAGCCCATCTTTGGGACAGGTGACTTTGGATACAAAGGTTTGCATCAGGTGTCCGATCGCGAACAGTCACGTGGACGTGACCAAAGTGTTTGTAAAGGGGACAGTGTGCAAGATATTAACGAAGCCTAATCGTTTTGTTGTGAAAATATCGCGGGAAGACGATCAGAGTGAAAGCTATGTTGTGAAACGCGCGGACCTGCGGCTAGTACAACCTCCATGGGCCGACGAGTTGGAGGAAGGTCTGGAAGATTGTGATCCTTCGAGGGTTGAGACGATTGGTAATAAATCTTATTTATGAAAGAGAGATATTAGGGTCATATTTTGCGAAAGGTAACTAAAGTTATCGTTTATTTTGAAAATTTATCACAGAACATGGATATCGCAATACCACGGAAGCTCCAACAGCAGTGCCAATTTTGCTCCATCATACTTCTCATCACACGTCGCATATGTCAACTCATAACGACACGAGCTATTATAGAACCACCGGTACCAGCCCTCTCATGACTTTAGGCACTTCTGCACATTCTGCCACAGCGTTAAGCAACGGCAGCCGGCCGTACGACGATTTAGAAAGCGAGGATGATTTAGATAGGGAAGACATTACATTTCCCTCGGATGCAGGTTAGATATAGCGTAAAGTTCTTATTTTTATCTAAGATATTGTTTAAATTAAAATATAGCAGTTGCTTCATATATATATATATATTACGCGTGACGCAAAATCAGATTTATTTTCTATTATAATAAATTAATTATAGTATTATTAAAATATTGCTCTATATATTCTTCTCGAGAGAAGCGTTTTTTATATTATGACGAAAAACCTAAGGCTTTTATCGAGAGAATTTTAATCAAAACAATAGTATAGTAATTCAGATATATTCAACTGACAGATGCAAAATTGTCAGGAAGCAGCAAAAGAAGCAGTATGCAAAGTCGAGGAAGTACCAGTAGCCTAGTTGAACAACGTAGTATAACGCCTCGTTCTCAGGCAGCCACACCCAGGTATTAATCAAATATATCAATTTTCAATCAGATGAAATTATTAATACGTTGAATAGTGAAACTCTGAATTAATAATAGTGCATGAGCTTACTCTTTTTTTTTTTTTTTTAACAGATCTCAGGCGGCAACGCCACATAGGTATAAAAAGGGTGATGTAGTGGTTACACCAAGCGGAATTAGAAAGAAATTTAATGGGAAACAATGGCGTAGGCTCTGCAGTAAGAAGGAATGTAACAAAGAGAGCCAACGAAGAGGATATTGTTCCCGTCATCTTAGTTTAAAAGGATCTGGTCTTAGAGGTCCGACAAACACATTTCCTGGGTATGAATGTTTGCTTGCGTTAAATTTATGCACTAAAATATTGCTTAAATATAAAAATTTTCTTTATTGCTTAAAATTACGATTCTGTTTTTGATTTACAGTAGTAAAATGGATGGCGAAGAGACATCGAGAGATTCCGATACTTCGCCAAACTATGGTGACAGAAGAATAGCTGGTAGATTCGATCAAGATGAAACTGAAGCTGCTAATATGCTCGGTATATCCTCTATGTACATATATATACATATGTGTATATACACACACACACACATATATATATAAAAGCATCTCAAATCTTTTCTTTATATTTTTATTAATAATAGCAGAACGCTTTATTATATAATATAAATTATCTTAAGTACAAGATGGAATCTATTATAGTTCTCTTTTGTGTAAGATAATCTAAAATAACATTATAAAACAAGTTTCTATATAAAAGTAATTCGACGAATCGTTTTTTGTTATTGCTGCAGTGTCTTTGGGAAGCTCCAGATCGGCTACGCCAGCTTTCTCGTCACCAACGGGCCAGTCTTCTATATCTCCATGTATAAACCAGTCGCCGGTACCACCGTTGGGACTCAATCAGAACAATGTATTTATGCCTATCTCGAGTCCGGCTCATCATGCGACTCCGCTGATTTCACCCGGCGCTAAATGGAAGCACTCGCCCACGCAGTCGAACTTTTTAGTTCAGTATCCGCAACAAGTGATAAAACCCGAACCGAATCGAGTAGTCAGATCGAATCGAGTGGCTCCCGTCCCCACCAGTATAGGAACGAGTGTGATAAGAATCTCTCCGGTGAATCGCAGCATGCAACCTGGACAGAATCTGGCTCTGTCATGGTCAGAGCAGAGCCCACCGCCGACGAGACATCCCTCGGTGGTGACGTCAACAATCGCTCAGCAGCAACAACAGAGCATAATCTTACAGCACGCGCTAACGTCAAGCGCTAACGATTTTCACGCCAATCACGCCGAGATGCCTGAACAAAGTTCGCAGTTGATAAAACACTCACCGCATTCGCCCCATATGCCTCTACCCGCTACTTCTATGCCGCAAAATTTGACGCTCATACACAACAAACCACTGGAGCAGCCGGTCGATTACGCACAACCGCCGCCCCAGGGCCCGCCGATCTATGTAATGCAGCACGAGAAAAAATATCTCGTGATAAAGAACAGCATGGACATGTCAGCAGCGTCGGCGGGTACGCACATGAGCAATCAGGATGACAAGTATCGGCAGAGCTTGATAAATCATTTAGGTCAACTATCGACATCCACGTTGCATCAAGTTCAGTGTCAACAGCCACCTCAATCACATGCTGTTTCATCCGTCCACATTGACAAACTGTCCGTTCTGCAACCTGTAAGTTGACGATACATTGGGATTGCTAAATGAGTGATTTATAGATAGATGGGATAGCCGATCGAGATCTATATCGCGCGGATAAGTCGATCATGTCATTTGTTGTCATTAGATGAATAAAGTGGGCGCGCATACGACCCTGCATATGGACATGCAGAGAAATCAACCACCACCTACGAATGCTGTAATGACTACCTCTACCACCGAGACATCTATTAATACATCTACTCCGACGAGTGTCTTCCAGCATGTAATTGTTCAGCAGATTCCAAAGACGCAACCCGCCAGAGAGGAGAATGCGAAAAACAATGGTATCCTCTGTAAGTTTTTTATGTCGTTAATTTTTTCCTTATATGTTCTTTTTATATATATGCAATCTTTTATAAATTATTTAAAGCATTTCCTGTGGAAGTTGAAAAGTTGTATTATTTTTGTTTTTACTTTATTATTTTACAATTGTTTTTCCAATGAGGATATTAATATAAAATCATAATATAAAATCGATAGTAGCAAGCAAGTTTGACTAAACGGTAAGGCTTTCACAGATGGCAGCCATGAAGTTCCTCCTGCATATCAGCCCCATACTCCATCATTACTGAATAATGCAGCGCAGAGCTGGAAGCTTAAAAAAGGTTTGAGTTTTGACTGACAACTGAAATGTATATCGAGTTTATAAAACTGCTGTAGGTTGCAGTTTATCAGTGGTACATGATATAGTGCAAAGACATTCATCTGTTATAAGCAAGTGTATTACAAGCACTGATACTTTATTATTTATTATATGTATTTTGGATGTTTCTTTATATTTTTCTTTTTTTTTAATTTTTATATATTTTTTTTTCATGTATTATATATATTTTTATACATTATTATGTATCATTAAGAGAAAGTATTCTTTTAAATGTAAACTGAGAGACAAGATCATAAGAAAATTTCTTTTCTTCACAGTTATTCACACATGTTATAGACAACATTGTTATAACAAGAGATTTTTAATTTTGTAATTTTATTTTCATGTATCAGTGTTAATCTTGCAACAGACGCAATTAATTAACGAACTTCATTCTCAATTTTTTAACTTTTTATCTCATTTAACATATATAATAAAGTACATTTTCAATGGTTAAACTTTAATGCTAGGGAAGGATGTCCTTAGGTATATATAGGATTGTTGGAAAAGTATATGCAGATTTTTTAAAATGCAAGCATATATATATACAATATATACAATTTTATTTATATATTATCTTTTTCTTTTACAACTTTTTACTATATCTTTTGCACAATTTGAAGATTTTATCTGAGCAAGTTGTACTATATATTGTCTCAATAATCATCTAATAGAATCCTGTCTATTGTATCTATTTTCTATTTCTGCCTATTTTGAAGTAGCTTTATCTCCTGTGAACTACAATTTTCTTTTTGCATTCCCCTTTCATTAACCATGTACGGAGTAAAAAATAGCGCGCGATGATATTTTCATTTTGCGCATATGTCATTAGAATAAGAATGGAAATTGACGAGAAGTTTCAGGGGTAGTCTAATCAGTCCCACAATGAGATTCCAGAATAAAGAGTTTCTATTGTACCGATAATCTGTTTAAACTTTTCGGACGATTCAATATTTAATTCATCTTTGAATTACCATTCTATCAAACATATTTGTATTGTAATTCATCATATGTGTTTTATCACCATACAAATGCAATTCATTAAATAAATCTCAAATAATCCCATTAAATTATAACATACTAATTTCTCTTTATTTATCATAAATGCTTTATTTAATTATGGTTCTCTCAATTTTCATTACTACTAATTTATTATTACCAAATTTTTTTTTTTTTAAGTCAGAGCAGGCACGTCTATGTACATACTACATATATCGCTGCTATTCCCATACATCATCATTACTAACCACAATCATTACAACTAACCCACTAACTTCATTGCAGCTTTTTCCTGGCAGACGGCAGTTTTGGAACAATCAGAGGTGAGCCCTCCTCCCTCTGCTCTCAGCCCACCCTTGAGTGCACCTCCGATTCCAATCAGTATGAGCACACCTGCTGAAGATGGCCCTGGCCCTGGTTCAGATCCTATAACACCTGCCGAAGAGGAAGACGATGACGTTTTTGAAACGGAACCGACCCCAACTGCGGAAGTGGAAGCCAACGCTAATAAGAGACGCAGTCAATCGCTCAGTGCTTTGCAATCGCAGACTCCGCTGAAAGTAAGTTTGACCGGAACCATTATTGCGATTATCATTTTAGTGATAAATATTAAGAATAATAAAACACACGAATAAAAAATGATGTAATTGATATAACTATCGACAATATATATATATATATACTCAATTTTATATATATATATATACAGAGTGCTCTCGGGTTAAATGGCCAAACTTGAAATATGAATGTAGGATCTCAAAACAAATAAAATTTTTCTCTAGGAAGTATGCTCGCAAACGCTTTGTTCAAGAGATATTGACTTCTTAAGTTTAGAACTATAGGAATGGATAATGTCGAAATAATCTAGGTTTATCCTCTTTATTACTTTACAATAATCAAAATTTAATTATTAAATGTTTTGTTCAAAATGATGGTCACCAGCCCGGAGATGTCTGTAATTTCTTCGCACGCTTGCAATATCCTCCGTTTTAATGATTGAATTTTAATAAATTATTTTGTTTGCAGTGCAAACACAAGCCTGTCAATGACCTTCGATCTTCAAAACAAAAAAAAAAGAAACATTTTAATATTATTCATTCCTATAGTTCTGTAACTTAAGAAGTCAATATCTCTTGAATGAAGCATTTGCGAGCATATTTCTAGAGGAAAATTATTTTTGTCTTGAGGTCCTAAATTCATATTTTAAGTTTGGCCATTTAACACGGGAGCATCCTGTATATTTGATAATGATTAAATGCTTTACACTCTATATTTAATAATATAAAAATAATAATAATATAGAAAGACTATATTTAATAATACGTTTTCTATTTTTATTGGGGTTACGCACATTTACATTAATTTTCTTACAGGCTAAAGAGAGAATACGACGGCCCATGAACGCTTTTATGATTTTTTCGAAACGACATCGCGCCCTCGTACATCAACGTCATCCGAATCAAGATAATCGCACGGTATCCAAAATACTAGGAGAGTGGTGGTACGCGTTGGGACCAGATGAGAAACAAAAATATCACGAGCTCGCCTCGGAAGTGAAGGAAGCGCATTTTAAGGCGCATCCGGATTGGAAGTGGTGTAGTAAAGACCGACGGAAATCATCGACGACCAGTTTCAAAGGAAACGAAGTCGGAAGGGCAAAATTGAATAGTACAGGGGAGGAAACGGATCCTCTTCAGGGTTCTTCCTCGGATGATCCATTGGCGCTCACATCCGCCGACGAAGTATCTACTCCGATCACTAATACATATAACGAAGCTCCCACTAACATTGAGGTACAAAATTTCACATATATATCACAGTATATAGTTACAAAATAAATAATGAGTACATTTTCAAAAAGATTTTTTCCATTCTATTTATTTGAAACATTCGCTAAGAAAAAATATTCATTGATGAAATTATAAATCGACAGATTATGAATCAGTCGCACACACAACATCGAATTTCGGAGATCCCTCTGCAAGTTGAAAACACCGAAGTCGACATGAAGCAAGACGATGATGCAAACGGGTCGGATGACGATCAGATGGTGATTTGCGAAGATCCTCAGCCTGAAATAGATTTAAAGTGCAAGGATAAATTAACGGACAGTGATAATGAGGTGCAAGATAACGAGGACGCGGAGAAAAAGTGTTTCAATCAATCGCGATTCTCGCCTGTGAGTGGTCAAAAGAGGGAAGTGATCAACATTAAACAGGAAATAACCTGCAGACCTAAGCCGATAAAAGGTATCTTTCGAATTATATATATAAACTAATGTATGTGACTTTTATGTGTGTAAAAAATTGATAATAGATTAATATTAGAGATTAATAGGAGAATTAACAATATGAATCTTAATGTTTATGTAGCACGGATACCTTCAACAGGTATAGAGTCAACAACAAAGTATCATCATACTTCCATGGATAAAGGCGGTACTGTATCAGTTTTGTCGAGTACGTATCCTTATCACAGTCCTGTCAATCCAACAGGAGTGTCAGGGTTCCAACCTACTGGCGGAGCTTTCATAACTATGCCAATATCGCCAAAAATTATTAAACCAGAACCAGTAAAGAGTGAACAACAGTACAGCACTCAGTATAGCGTGAATAATCTTGTAAGCATCCATACTGAAAACGGACGGAACGTACCTAAATTTACAGCAGCTCCGGTATTACATACTGTAAGTATCAGACAAGTGGACATTTTAGCAATTTGTTTAGACACTTGCTACAAATATTGCATGACTGGATTGTTATACATGTATATCCAGATTGTTGAGAGTAACAATCATCCCTTTTATCACACGTTATCAAGTAGTCGGAACAAAAAAGTATAGTCTATAATTTATAAAAAGTACAAAACTTTATAGACATTTCTTCATACTTAAGATAAATTTTAGAAAATTTGGAGAAAAAGTTCACTTTAGATGTTTAGGCAAGAATAATAAGAATATTGTGGATTTATTTTTATTTCCTTCCTCTGCCTTTCTCTTACTCTTTTCTATTCGTTATATATATATTTTCCATATTTATATATGTATATGCAACATCTTTATTTTTTCTTATTGAACGATATCAAAGTTACTTTATCTCGATGCAATAGTTTGTTTAAGAAAGTAGTGATACATATGCCTTTTCCGAATAAATATCGAATAAAAATCTTCAAACAGATTCGAAGATGAAATAACAAGTTTAACAATACTAACAGATTGGATCGAAACCAATGATGGCATTGTTGAAACAACAGCCGCCGTTGCAGTCTTTAGGCACTACTCTTCGCCCTCTTACTTCAACTGTCCCTCATCAACCACCGTTCACTCTAACATTGCTCGATAACGATTTGGTGGCTGTTTCCAAACCGCAGCAGGGATCGCAGCAGTATCTTAATCCAACACCGTCACACTCCAGCATGTACGGTGGATTTCAGATACCTATCACTGGTGAGTCTAAATTGTTATTGCATACTTTTATCCGAAATGTCTGATAATAAGTAAACGAATATATGTAATCCGCTTATAGATGCCGGTAGTCGCAACAACTCTATACCCGTGCAAAATTTAGTTTCCAATAATAAGATGGAGATTCAAAGCGTGATTGTGAGCAAGTCTTACCCCGTCTCGACAAATTCCACCACGTCAACTTATGGCCGAGGGACCGGCCATTCCATTGCTCGTCTCGCCGGATCCGAGAATAATGATAATCAACAGGCTATTACGAATCACGCTCAGTTTTACGGTAATATCTTTTATTTATATAAATTTATTTCGCAGATATATACGAATATCTTTACACGATTGATCACATGCGATGCTTTTATCATCGCTTTTTCTTTCTCATTACAGTCAGTAACATAAAAACAGAGGACAAGGAAACCGTAAATATTGTTCTTCCCGCGACGAATGAAAAACATAAGCAACCGTCGACACCTCACACGCCGCATACATCTCAAAGTAATCACGGAAGTAGTGAACTGCCGTCAAATAAATCATATACATTCGACGAAGGCCAAAGCAATGATATGGGGTCAAGTAAAGGCCCGTTCATGCTTGCTCCAACTCCGGCACAACTCGGTCGAGCACCACTACAAAGGAGACAATCAATGGGTATATAATAATTCTTATAACTTGTGATTTTTATACGAGAAAGCAGTAAATATATTAATATGTTATAGACAAAATATTTTAAGATAACACAAGATAACATTACGAAATACCTTTTAATATAACTACAGTTTTTTTAACTAATTAAGAATCAAAAATTTCTTAGTGGAAATGTTGAGGGATGTTAGTTTCATCGAAACTTTTAATTTTAATACATATCTTTGCAATTACCATCGAAATTATATTTAAATGGAATTCTGAAATCTTTTTTTTCTTCTACAATTTTTCTTTTTTGATTAAGAAATATTATTTTGCTATCTACTATCTTCCTTTAATTTGCGGAAAACATTGTATTTTTAAATTGATTATTACTCAAGTGCTATTGATAACTAGATAATTTTGCTGAAGAAAGTCTCTTGAAAAAAAATGTTAAATGATCCAAAAAAATCTATAATTGAAAGCAAACAAGTCTGGCAATTTTCAAACACACTTTTTATATATTTTTATGAATTTTTATTCTACAATTTGATATAATAAATTCCTTGTTTCTGTTTCTTTTATTTCATCTTCTATTCATTTTAACAGCAATGCCTTCCGCATCAACTACAGGAGACCACGGGCCAATAACAACATCTCAACATTGCGACAATCGACTACAAACTAATATATCTCAAACAACAGAACAGAATATAACCGAGTCTCATACTTCTCCTTCTCCTTCTACCAAGAAAGGCTCCTTTTTTAAGAAAAACGTAGAGGATGGTATGGACAGGTATATTTTTAATCTCTATATTATATTAGCAATGTTATATTAATTAGAAACTACTGCATAAGATTAAACTTGACAATACATATAATTTTTTGACAGAGTTCTTGAACAAGTGAACTTTCAAGAAAAGTTTTCATCATTGCCAGAATTCAAACCAGAGGATATACAGAGTCCGAGTGCGATCAATATGAACAATCCAGGTTCATCTGGCCATAGTAGTGTAGCTTCCGGATTACATTCGCAAACATCTATGCAGATGCCAGGTTATCGAAAGAAATCTGCACAATCTGGACCTCATAGGCCCACAAGTAAATAATTACACTAAATCATTTATATATTATAATATTTTGATCGGGTTTGTGTATAATGTTACTATCATAATGTGTTTTTTTTCTTTCTCCAACAGTGAATGAGGATGAAATCGACTCGGACACATCGATATCAGCTACTCCAAAGTCTACATCGAGCGTCAAACTAACCGGTAACACATTTTTCGGTCCGGATTTCAATGTTGACGCTTACAGAGCCAACAACGATTTATTGGACGTTGATGCCAGTTCTCCGCGAACGCCAAAAACCCCGGGAGGCGGTGGTGGAAGTACTGTAGGAATCGGTAGAAGCGACAACGAGCGCGGTCATAGGAAGACATTGGAGCAACGGAGGCATCTGGTCATGCAGTTGTTTCAGGAACACGGTTACTTTCCATCCACGCAAGCGACTTCCTCGTTTCAAGCTAAGCATGCGGATATATTTCCTACTAAGACGAGCTTGCAACTGAAGATTCGGGAGGTTCGGCAGAAATTGAAGGCCAATTCGACACCGAGTGCTAATAATCTCGTTAGTCCATCGCCAATCTCAGAATCCTCACCTATCGTAACTGGTAAATACAAGAGATTTGAGCCATTTTTTATAGTTTTTCTCATTTATTATAAATCAATTTGTGTGTGTATAACGCAATTGTATATTTCTCCGATACTTGTTTAGGTCCAACTGCTCCTCCAACTTCGATGGGAGCTCCACATTCACTGCCTGTAAGCAGTAGTAGTGGTAGCTAGCACCCACGTGCCAACTGTGATACTATGCATCCCCTTACTCCGCAACACGAATACATTATTATCCTTTGAAGAGCTAAATATTTACTAGGAAAGTCGTTAGAATCATGCATATTCTCTTCGGGACTTGTAAAGTACTGCAAAAGGCTTTAGTGCAATTTTAGATTTTGATGAAGCCTGCTGCAGGCTTGATTTAACGGGCATACCGAGACGTGATTGATATACAAGTGATTTTATATATAATACTGAGGTATTATGTGTGTGTACTACTGTTTATATAATTATTTATAACTATTTGTCAAGATGTCAGTTGTTCTTGAACGATAAGGAAACGGAAAAAATTGCAAACGTTCAATAATTAATAGTTTGCAATATTTTACGACAATTTATGATTTTGTATAAATTTGGCTTTCAAGTCTCTAAAAATAATATTAATGCAAAATATAGACAATGTACACATGAACATGTGTTGAACACTTGTCTGATCTACGAGACAAGAATCTTATTCTTTGAAACGGAGAAAGATAATACTGCATTACAATATAAATCTGGGTATTGTTTACAAAAAAAATGAGTATCATAAGAAATATATATGACGTTATACATTTTATTATATTTAAAAATTGCAATTCGCGTTTCACCGTGAAATTCTTAAAACTGTGTAATTGATATTTGTATATCAACATGTCTTGCGTGATTCAAGAAGGGCCTAAGCCATTGTTAAATATTGTTGAAAATATAAAATAAAAATCATAAGCTAAAGAGAAACAAGCAGAGTGAGAGAAAGAGAGAGAGACAGAAGATTGGAACTGGAAACATTATGGAACATAGAATTAATGGAACATTATAAAATAAAATCAGAGTTTATATACTTTAGTTATACTTTACATATATATATTTACATATATGTATGTATACATGTATGTATATGTATATATTATATAGGTCGAAAAACTCTCTCTATAGAATGAAGAAACTATGATAAACTGCACAAAATTTATGTAATACATCATTCATCTCAGAGAGATGTTTATTTCACGTGTAAATATTACAAAATGATATCTTGAGACAGAAAATATCTAAACAGTTGTGAAATATCTACAATTCTCTATCTGAAGAACTGTAAGAGCACTGTATTCTTGAACCATGTATATTATAATACAGGAGATAAAAATCGTGCCATTGTGCGGTGACAAAGCGAAGGGAATGCATGCACTATAATTCCTTCAGCGAAAGAGAGAATGATTGTTAGATAAAAATTCTTGATATAGATAATATGTAATATGTTTCCAACATTATTGAAAGTACTTATACTACTGTTTTTTTATAGCTTTGCTGAAATTCAATGCGTTAATCCATATTTTATAGGTGTTTTAAAACGGTCTTTTCCTTTTTTTTTTCCTGAATTTTTTTCTTTTTTTTATCTTTTTTTAAATTTTAATTTCTTTTCTTTTTTGGCCTTAGATTTAAGCGCTTTTATAAAGCAGGCCGTATTTTTTTTTCCTTTTTTTTCGGCCGTGACAAATACACATTTTATTATTATTTTTATTGTATGCATCAAGTACTTAACACATATACTATATGAAGAGAGAAAATGTACTCGTTATTGGAATTGAAATGTCGATATCAATTTTTAGTATGACAATTATACAATTATTAACAGTAGCAATGTACTAAGAAGAAATCGTGTGCATTTTTATGAAAATATAAATGTTTATACTGTTTATAAATTTGTACATTACGTTGAATGGGATCGTTGGAGTGTTGTTGTATCATATATATTTTTTAATTGATTTATATTCTTTATTACACGCAAAAAATATAGTATATCGCGTCAGTTTTAACATCCTCTTTTAGTGATCCAACGTTTCCAATCTTTTTTTATGTTAAATCTCAAAGAATTATCGTATCGAATTTTAGCAAAGATTGTTGAATTTGGCTGTAAAATAGATTATGTAATTAGTGATATAAAAAAAAGCGCACCTTGACAGGTCTCGACAAGTCTCGCGCCACGGCACGTATACTGTAGTTAGGATATGAGATACATGTCTATTCTACATATTTTGTAAATAGAATACATATATAATGCTAACTTTATATATAAATATATATATTTATCTATATATAAATTTAGCACGTATAAAATGAAAATGATAGAGAGAATATATGCTATTGTAATTTGTAGAATTATATATATATATATATAATTATACACAAAAAAAAGCGCAGGCAGGATTAAGTTTAGGATAATTGCAGATTATGGGCCTTTATCTGTAGTGGACTCTTGTGCTCGGGACGGTCCTCCCACCCTTCTCCAAAGTTAATCCTTTCCTACAAAGCGTTAGGATATATTATTGTTTGTATATAATATAATTATATTATAATCCTCTTATCTCTCGTCTCTTGATTTATTATTTTTTATCAAACGTTAAGTGCACTAGTAGCAAACAGTAGAATAGGAAGAGGGAAACTTAAAGCCTGTATTGATCCTGTTTGTAATGTTTTCATCAAATTCTGACATTATATAATTAATGTCTCTATTTTGTCAATGTGTGAGAATTCTTTTCAGATTTATAATGCAGACCATTTTAAAACGGTTTTTACGGTTGCGTAGCAATCAAGGGATATTGTATAATTGTGAAAATATTCTAGAATTACATACATGTGTGTCATTTATGTCGCGTGAAATACGTGCGAAATCGTTTTTATTTAATTCGGCTGAATTTAATAAAATATTGGTCCAACATGAGATTCGCAGAATCTTTTAAGAGAAAGGGGATATTTTATCATAAAATATTTTAAATATGAATGCTCAAGTGTGCATGAGCGCGCGCGTGTGTGTGTGTGTGTGTGCGTGTGTGTCTCGCTCTTATTATATATTTATATGATGCATGTCTACAAGATCTGTTCTATGCAGAATCTAACAAATTTGTCAAATATACCTATCTGTCCATAATTATTCGCAAATTATTCAAGCGCTTATCTATATACGTTCCATTCTTCGTGAAGAAATGGTAAATGTGTTTGAGACACACATACACATCATTCTTAGTTCTAGATGAAACAGGATCTAAACAGGGTTTGAATATCTCTCGCACTAGCCCATTTCAAAGAATTAATTAAAAAAATATTATATTTTGTACTTGCGTAAACTAGCAAACTACTTTCCAGTATTTATAAGATTCTTGAAAAAGCTTTGATATATCTTCTTCCCCCTTTATTTCACATGGTGATGAAATACGTTCCGTGATTTAGCAGCCATGAATGTGACTGTGATCTAGAAAAAACAGAAGTAAAGTAAAAGTGGCAGCTACTCTACCGACTATTTCTTCACCACATGACTTCCTGCGCGTGTATTCCTCCCATTCCTCTTTCTTCCTCGATGTATAAACGAATATGATCTAAAAAATTAAGCGCTCTTCTCTTTACACTACTCAATTTTTTATTATTTGCGTTAGACATATTTTTATGCTTGTAGTCGCAATACGATCTAATATTCATTATTCTATTATTTTTCTTGTTTCATTTTGAAATATTTTTAAAACTGTTATGTAATTATATATATCTCTCTCTCAGTCAAGATTAATGTTATGGAAAATAATAGGAAGCAAAAGTAAAATACTATATATAGAAGTCATAAACAATGACTCTATATGTATCCATGCAGTAAAAATACTACATCGACGCGATGTATACGTGTATATACACATGTGTGAGGTATATATTTCATTACATATGTAATATATACACATACATATACATATATAAATGTATAAAAAATTATTAAACGCAATCGCATATATATGACATCATGGCATATATGTATTATAGCATATATATATATATATATATATATATATATATATATATATATATATATATATTATGTCTGAGGTATCAAAATCTATATATATATATATATATATATATATATATATATATATATATATATATATATATATATATATATATATATATATATATATATATATATATATATATATATATATATATATATATATATATATATATAATCTGGCTGAGGCATTAAAATCTGCACCAATCCAATAAAACAGATAATCCGCTCTTTATACTCTCAGGCATAATTAACCGAAACTTTTTGTATGTATAATTCTTCTCAATATCGCAAAGCAATATTCTCTGGAGCGTATTCTCATATAAATTTGCATTGACACACTTGTAAATTCTATGGAATTATGTTGAAAAGTACAACATATGAGTATTGATATGTTCAGTATCTCTAATAATCTCGATATACGTGCTCAAGACATTATATTATAGATACGATATTAAAGAGAAATTATTTCGGAGGGATAATTTTTTTCATACTACACAGCAATTGTTTATTTACTGATTTTACCATTGTGCCTGTATCAATATCTCGGAATATTATTCATAAACATGTTTGTGCGGATAAATCGATGACGATTGGCAGATTTTAACACTGATGCCCTTACACACGAGAACCAGTTGTTGGACCAAATTGCCGGCGCACGGCCCTTTTGATGTAGAGATGCGTTTACTTTTTCTAGAAAATATAATTCGCGAGAAAAGAGAGCAAAGAAATGAAGATAAGAAAAAATTAATCACATGACACTGTGACATTTATATTACGGCGAAAAATTTGGTTGATGCATATGTATTTGAATTTAAATTTCGTGTTTAATTTATAATTATATTCGATATGAAATTGAATTTCACGTTCGATTCACAGGAATAAGTTTATTCTATGAAAAATAGATTTATAATCTTTGATAAAATTTCGAAAATCTTGGGAAAAAATCGACATATTTTTAAAAATTTAAGTCAATTTTTCATTATATATATATAAATCGATTACTCGGCATAATTGTATAATGTCACATTGTCAACTTTCTTGTCGAACATTTCCATATCTCTCGCATTCTATAATTTCACATCAAACTTATATCTCTGCTCAGTAATAACTCATAGTATATATTATAACCGCGATGTATATGGAGTTGGGCAAAATTATATTATTTTAGCGAGAGGCACATTGTTGCAAACAGTGATAATTTACTATATGAAATGTGTAATTATATGAAAAAATTTGCTCGTAACAGTATATATAAAGTATATTTTATTATAAGATGGAAAAAGCATAGTGTGGTGAATTATCTAATGCCTGGCCAAAGTATTATGATTAATGATATAACATACATTTACAATTAGTTTTATAGAGTTGGCATGTGCTTTCTTCTGATAAATATATAATTATGACAAATGATAACTTGTTAGTAAAGCGCATAAAAAATAATTTTTTTTCTTTTTTCTTTTATATATACACTGAAGTGCATTATTCTTGGGGAGATATTTTAATGGCCTCTGTACATTAGTATTAATGATATCGATATAACTGTATAAACAAAAAGCAAGAAGAGATTCTTAGAGCACATTACCAATTTCAGATATAAAAAAAAATATGAAATATACGAAAAAATATTCTTCATCAAATGTATAAATATTACAGAATCATATATATTATATACTGATGTCTGATTATGAAATATTGAACAAATGTTATCAAATAAAATGTTGTAATCTGTGTTGACAATCGCCAAATGTTCTAAGCTTAACACGATCGTTAGCAGATACATGCCTGTTAGAGCGATAAAGGTTTTGGATATTTGGGGACAAAAATTGTCAAATATCTAAACAATGTTTGTCTCCAAATAAAACTGACCAGAGGATATCTTTTGGCCAAGGAAGAGGTATATTATGAGATACATGAAGACCTTGATATTGAGAAAAATTGAGAGCATTTGTGTATATATTTTCTTAACTGACCATTACATCTATGCGATCCAATTAGATCGCAATGGAATATTTAAAAAAAAAATGCAATTTAAGAATGCAATAAATAAGATCTGTAGATAGACAGTTCTATTTGCTTCATTGCCATATTTAATAGTTGTAGTCGTACTATTTTACTTCGATACATTTTCCTTCTGCTTTTTCTGTTTTTTCGTTTCGATTTCGTCAATCGGCGCAGGCTTTATAAACGGAATCTCACTTTTGTATTTAGAGGGCATGTATTCTGCCAGAACTTTTGGCACTCTGATGCCAGTTTCTGTTTGATGTACTTCTAAAATTGCACAAATTACGCGTGTCACTGCGCACATTGTCGCGTTCAACATATGAACATAGTCTGTCGTCGTGTTCATTTTCTTGGTTTGACCATATCTATAGATTAAACGAGTTTTATAAAATTCTTATAATATTAGTTATATTAATGATATTTATATGCTATCTAATATATATACTGACCTTACTAGTAATCTCCTTGCTTGGTAATCCAAGCAGTTACTACATGACACAAGTTCACGGAATGCACCAGATCCAGGAAACCAGGCCTCCAAGTCTAGCTTCTTGGAAGCTGCATGATTCAATGCACCAGATACAATATTAACTACGCGATAAGGAATTTCTAAGGCTTGATAAAATTCTTCCGCATTGGAAATCATTTCTTCCATCATCTCCCAAGATTTATTGTCGTAAGGTGAGGTGAGGCAGAACTGCTCTACCTATAAATAAGAAAATGATGAACATGTATGTATCATGCTGTTTTGTTTAACGAATAATTAATTCTCATTTAGCCCTAGATACCTTTTCAAATTGATGTACTCTAAAAATACCTCTAGTATCTCGTCCATGAGAGCCGACCTCTTGTCTGAAGCAAGTAGAGATACCGGCATACTTTATTGGTAAAGCATTTTCAGCTATCCATTCACCCCTATGAAAAGCTGCTATTGGCTGTTCAGAGGTAGCAATAAGATATTTCTCCTCTATTTCCTTATCCTCATTACGTTCACTACCTTTACCAATAACCTAATAGAAAAAAAATATATAAATTATAATTAATTATATAATTATAGTTAAAACCTTTATATTAAGACACAAATACCTTATATAATTCTTCGTCAAATTGAGAAAGTTGCGCTACTTCTTGCATTGCATCTTTTCGCATAATAAATGGAGTATAAAGAGGTGTATAATCTTTTTTAAATAATTTTCTCAATGCTAATTGTGATAATGCTTGTTGCAGAAACACTGCTGGTCCAGTAAGGAAATAACCTCGTCCGCCAGACACGCCTGTTCCACGTTCACCATCCATTCCAGCAATCATGTGAATCAGATCAACATGAGAGTATGTCTTTCTTTCAGTGCAATCTCCCCAAGTTCTTTCCACCTAAGATAAGAGCAAACGTTAAAAATAATAAAGAATTTTATATTGTTAAAATTATAAATCGAATAAGAGATATTCATACTTTGTTCTCTTCCTCGTCATTACTAACAGGTACAGATTCGTGTAGATGATTTCCTACTTCTCTAAGGGCGTTATTCCTTTCTGATTCAGTCGACTTCAAGTTCTCGTCGTTTTTTTGTATAGCATCATCGATGAGATTACGTATCTTCTTGATCTGCATCACTGTCAATGTTTTCAAACTTTCGGAAGTCAAGTCAGCTAGATTATCAGCGATCGCTTGAGGCACATCATCGTTATCACCAAGTGACTCCTTCTTTTTCATTTTCTCGCCAATCTCCTTGCTACATAGGTTCTTCAGCTTATTAAAATTGTCGGCACAATGCCGCAGTTGTCGCCAACGTTTATCCTTCTCGATGACAGTATCCACCAGCTGCACATCCTTGAAACGTTTTCTCTGGTTCTCCCGGATCTTCTCCGGATCAAAACCCTTGTCTTTGCGGAAAAGATCCAGATCCAAAACCATTTTTCACGTTTTTGGATCAAACCCAGAGTGTATAAACTCTTGGAAACGTCGGGGGCACGTGGAAGCCAGATGGTTTATTCTTTTTAGCTGACCTGGGGTTGCACTAGAACTGCACTTCTGCACTAGCACAGTATATACAGGCCACAGGCTGCGTTCCGATATCAGAGAGAAAGCTAGCTCCGTAAAGTTAGCTGGACTACTTTAAGGATCGGCAGGAGAGACAGTAGAGACCTCTCGCGGGAAGCCGTGAACTACACTTTTTAATAATTAAAATTATATAATCGTTTGGTGGTGATTGGTAGCCTAATTAAAACGTTTGGTGGTCAATCGTTTCATTTTAAATTAAATAATTAAAATTTTGGTGTAACCCACTCGGCATGTAATATTTGTTGAAAGGGGTGTAATATTTCAAATGGAATATTGCAGCAATGTATCAGAAATATTACACTCCGAGTGGGAAGGTTAGCCGGACATATTTTAATTTTCAGTCTAATTGATTAAATGAGAGCTTATTCGATGCAGAATCGTTAGTTGGTCACT